GAAAGAAGATAGAAAATATTGGTTTTCATAAGTAAACCTTTTTGTCAGTGCTTATATCCCATTATTTATTTATTTATTTCAAATGGCAGGCGTTATGATAGGTATCATTAGCCCTTTAGCTGACTTCGTGCTTCACAGAAAGGAAGATGAACATCCAAGTGGTAAAAAGTCGAGAGGGGGACAGAATAATGATTCACAGACGTAAAAGAGACAGACAGACACAAAGGTAGAAAAAAGGTGAGTACTGTTTAATTAGAAGAATATGAATTGCGGCGGGATCTTGGTAGTTTGAAGTCAGAAGTCAACTGCCAGTTAATAGACTTTTTTGCCGTATGAGTATACGTTGCCCAGGGAGCACCACGTGGAGGTAAGTCTATCGCACACCCCTTATATCCCATTATACAATAATGCTTTTATGCTCTTAGTAAGTTTTTTACGTTGATAAATGACAAATTTTGAAATAAATTAATGAATATTGTGCGAAGTTAAAAAAGTTCAAACAGTCAAATGATCCACACATAAACTGGAATTTTTCAACTATATCTAATTTTTATACCTATTTATTTTGCTGTTGAATAAAACAAATTTAACCCGCTTGTCAGAATCCGATTTGAAAAGGCAAAGAAAAATTCGCAAAATCACTTAGAATTCATGAATTTTGTAAAAGTGAGCGAAAAAGTGTCATTGTCGAAACGCCAGAAAGAGGAGCCCATATTCCGCGAAATAAAGCATTCCACTATCTAGTTTAAATAGGATTTTGACCAATGTTTTGGTTCCTACACGTTCATAAACCAGCATCCGTTGTTATTTTTAACTATTGTCACAATAGTGTATTGCCTTTACAACACTTTGTAATTGAGAATTTAATGCTTCTCCTCTGAGATGCCAATTGTCATTACCACTTGATTAACGCCCAAAATATCAAAGTAATGCTCGTTTGCACACCGAGGATCTGAATGAAATTTCAGTTAGAAGCACAGATTGTTGTGATCTTTTAATGTCTAATTGTATAATTATGGAAGAGAGAGAGAGAGATAGAAGTAGGCCTGGACCCGTATGAGGAAAGTTCAGTACCTAGGATGATCATGGATGGTTTACTCGAAATCTTATTGCATAAAACGCGGATCTTCTTTCGAATCATCCTCAGTGCAATATATCGATCGGATTTTATGTCGCCGTGCGATAGACTTACCTCCACGTGGTGCACCCTGGGCAACGTATACTCAAACGGCGAAAAGTCTATTACCTGGCAGTTGACTTCAAACTACCATGACCCCACTGTATGTCATATTCGTCTACTTTCACAGTACTCATCCCACCTTTTTTCCGCCTTATCTACCTTCGTCTTTGAAACTCTCTTCTGTTCCTCTCCCCCTCTTGAATTTTTTACACTTTGATGTTCCTTCCCCTCTGTGAAGACTGAAGTCAACTAATGATAACAATCAAAACGTCTGCCATTTGATATAATAATAATGTCACCGCGCCCTTGTTATTATACGCTCAGTATTTCAATTAAAATTTCAGAATTACAGGCATCTACGTTAAAAGTTGCTCTAGAAATTCACGATGAAAATTATATACTAGGTCATGGTTTTTTATTCTTTCCAACCATTACTGTCCTCACTAATATTCTGTGTATATAATAGAGCTATTGTTTGAACAACACTCTACCTTCATCTCAAAAGATCCTTGCACTACAGAGAAAGTATCTGGCAAAACAGAAGAAACTTGACCACATGTTGCCGTTGAATTTCACGTGAAGTCGCGATACACCTACCTGAGGGGGGGCATTCTGAATCCCGGGTGCAAGTTTTGCTTGACAGGTTTAACTACATACCTGACAAGTATATTTTACACTGACGATGGTAGGTTTATCAAAAAAACATTTATAGTCCTCAGATGTGCATGAAAATGAAGAACTTAAAATATAATTTAATTTAATATATATGCGTAAATTAAATCAAATATCGTTCCTCTGAAAGATTAAATCGCAGATTTAAAAACTCTTGTGAGTTTAATTACTCTAATTGAGTAGTAATTAAACTAGACACGCATTTTTAACAGTATTTGAACATAAGTTTATGTAAATTAATAGAGCATTTCAAACAATAAAACAAATATAAAGTAAAAAAATTATTCGAAGTTGTGCTTATTTGTTGTTATTTAATTAGAAGTCTGGCCTAGCACAGGTAATCAAAGTCACGAACATTGCAATAATGGCATTTGTTAATCATAATAACCTTTCAAGATCGCAATTCAGAAACAAGATGTCTGCTATTACTGCGTTTGATACTCCTTCTACTGTTGCTTGCTGATCTATTAACCTCAACGTCAATATCTTGCAATCTCGTAACGTAGGCTGCGTTGTTGTGTGCACTATGACCCATGTCACTTTGACTTACATACATATTGTTGTTTGAACGCAGTGAGCGAGATCGATTCTTGGTCTTAATAGTGGAATGTTTCCTTTCCAATGATATGCCTCGAACATAGTTCCTAGGCTTAGAACCAGAAAATGACCCTGTGGTACGAGTTGGAAGCATTTTGCGTTGAATGGGAAAGGGAGAAGGCAGTGGCTCCCTATCAGGTTTGAGTGGAATCGATAGAGTTGGTGGCTTAGGTTGTTGAGTTACTAAACCGTACTGTCTGATGTCATCCTCTTCTTCACAGGAAGACAGATGGGTAGGACATGAAGTTAGAGGCAGAGAGTATTTGTCCTTTTCATCATTCACGAATAGGCAGAGAGTATGAGGAACGAGGGATTTTTCCGAATATCTGTTTTTTGTTAAAGGATCTTTATGGTTCTTACTCCTCTTCTGCTCCTTCTTCTTTCCATGAATTTCTTGCGTTTCGTAGTACGGTGCGAGTGGATATATCACCCATCGTCTTTCATCATCTAACGAATCCTCTCTACTTGAATCGGAGTCATCAACTGGGACTTGAAAGTATGCTGAATACAAGTATCCATCTCGAGATTCTGTGATTTGATAAATCCGAGGCGAGGCACCTTTCATTCTTCACTCTTAGAAATGTATGTGCGCGAGTTGTGTGCGCTTGTATAATTGAGAATTCATGAACTCATTATCAAGCAGCTTATTACTCAAACCACTAATACCTTATCGACTTTCACGTGGAGGTAACTGACGAAAGCTTCTTGCTATTGTGAATGATCAACATCCAATCAGTCCACACCTCAAATATTAAGTGGCAATTTATTTTATTGCAACAATAACATTGAGCCTTTATCTAATAAGTAAACAAATTTTTGTTTTTGTAAAAGATTCTTCTAAATTAGTCTACTCATATTTTTTAGCAAACATGCAATAAAATATCTAAAGGAATAATATAGGACAAAACCATAAACTAAAAGGGTTTGTTCATTAAATTTTCAGACGAAACATCTAATTAGACGTTCCTAATTCCTACAATAACCGACTGTTGTAAATAAGTATTTTTTGCTTTCAAAATAATTAACTTGATTGGAGGTTAGGTAGAGGTAAATTTACAAGACGGAAAAGGGTTTATTTGTGCAGAAATTCCAATGGGTTTGAATTTACTCTACCATAGTTTGATTACCAATTGTCATTTCTATTAATTATTATTGATTTTTATCTGTGAAGAAGTTGGTAATCTTTACCAGTTAATCTTGTTAAACTAGTACAATTATATTAGCATACTCGGTTATGCAATTAATAGTGAGGGATCCTTTTTAGGAAACATGGTATTGGAAACAGCCTATCGCTCTATAAGACCGGATTTTAATAATAAATGCTCATTAGTTCCCTCCTTGTTCTTGATAATTTATACTACCGGCTTATAATCGCGATTAAAAGCTAGCAATGTTTTCATTACCATCGTGTTAAACAATTAACTTAAACTAACAAAAATAAGCAGAATTGATTGCAATTACTTGTGTTGTTAGCATTAAATAAACGTAATAATCAAAAGTAATACAATTAGATTTGTCAAAAAAAGTTGTATTTTAATAAGATAATAGGCAATTTGGAAATAAACAAGCCAGTATTTGCAAAACTACTATGATTATCAAAGTGGATTGGGAAAGAGTATATTGATTAATGTTTTCCTCTATATGAAGGGTAGGGCTTCTTGCAGCGTTTATCATATCCATCTCCATAACCCCCACCTCTGCAAGAACACATATCTGCACTCGGTCTGCCCATTGTCTTCGTCCCTCCTCCCATTGTAAAAGGATTACCACATTCTGGCCTTGGGAATTGCATCATCGGTCCACCAGGACACCCAGGACCTCCGGGACCCCCTGGACCGCAACCGCACCCTCCACCACACCCTCCACCTCTCTGCCGTTCTTGGGATCTGTTGTGGTTCCTTTTCGAGCAGCAGTCCTCACAAGGTTTCTGTGCAGAGTATCGGTAGTAATCTGCAATCTGACCCGTCTTCTTATTCCTCAATCTATGACGAACAATCTGAGGTGGTGGCACGCCACGTCGACAGCTTTCACAATCCGAGTAACTTCCATCAGAATAGTCGCAATCATCTATGTTAGGGATAGTTAATTTGCTCCGAGTGTGCAATTATAACATACCTCTAAATCCTCCTCCATAGTCGTAATGATGAAATGAAGTTGGGCGTTTGAAAAAGCGTCGTTCTCCCATAGCGAGCTGTGTGCATGCGGGGTCAGGGAGGATTTTGAAGATATATCTATCAGCCTGCCAGTCGTCTTACGAGTTTACGGCGAACCATTGGGAGTTGATAGTTAGTAATCTGCGCTTGCAGGTAATGCTCTCACGGTATTAAAGCCTAATTAAATTGATTTGTGCGTCTGTGTGTGCGTGTGAAGTAGCTTCAGATTTAAACTGAATTTTGGAAGTGGGAGATGAATGAAATATTTGTACTTACGACTTCCCTTACTAGCGCTTAATAATTAGAGATATTTAGTATTAAAGACTTTAGCTGAATTAAAATGTGCCACAAATATCTAAGTCTGGGAATAAATAAGGCGTATGAGAAAAATTATTTGTGATGGTGACCTATTTCCAACAAGGCTATGATAATTTGGGTTTGGCACAAAAATAAGATGCACTACCTACTGAAATCCATTTCAGTCCCCATTTATTTGAAATAAATTTTACGGAAGAAAGTTCATTACCAAAATCCGTTCTTATAAACGTTACTGGTGAAAAACATTGTTACTCACACAAAGACAAAAATAAAGACTTATCGTGTTTCCTTAGGTAAATAAGAGTTTCAATGCGGAATAAACTTCAAAATTTGTTCATCACTTCTTTGGAAGTGTGTTGTCGTGTTATATTAGCTATTTCACCTTTACTCCACATTCTGTTTGAGAGACCTTAATCTTTCCGCATTTGTTACTCTTGAGTTATTATAAAAAATTCCTCTATTTTGATCAAAAGAAATAGCTCCCTTTAAAATGTTAAGGTTACTAAAAGTGCCCATACCAAACAATAGCTGTTTTAGCTTAAGTGAAGTACAACCTATTTTATAATAAAAAAATAGAGAGTGTTTGTGAAATGCTTGTTAAGACTAACCTCATATTCCTCATTCAACAATCTTCATTCAAAAAACTAATCGACCATTAACAGAAATTCATATATTAATAAAGTAAGTCAATGCTTATTTATAGGGCTAAACTAGATTGTACTCTTCGGACAAACGAATGTCTAGCAATCAGAGATATAATTAAGGGGTAGGATGAAGAGGTGATAGAGGATGATTCCACTACCTGTTCTCTACGTAGATCAAATGTCAATGTGCTGAAATTGTTTTGCTGATGTCTCACTTTTTTAGTATAGTGACCCACATTGGCAATACACTTTGTGGTGTTTTAACTATTTATATCATTCATGGGGTGCGCGATAGACTTACCTCTATGTGATGCGCCCTGGTCAACGTATACTCATATGGCAATAAACGTCTATAAACCGGCAGTTGATTTCAAACTGCCATGACTCGACTGTATGTCATATTCGACCACTTCCACACTACTCACATTACCTTTTTCTCTATTTTCGTGTCTGTCTCCCTTTTACATCTATGGATCACACTTCTGTTCTCCCCACCCCCCCCCATCCCCCATCTAATTTTTGTGACATTGATGTTCCTCACCTCTCTGTGTAGCCCGAAGGCAACCAAAGGGCTAATGATAACTATCATAAAGCCTACAACTTTGATATAGTAATAATATCATTCATTCAGCTAAAATACACGTAAAAATCCAGCAAGAGAAGTCCTTGATGATTGTGTTTCCGCTGATGTGACAAAAGCCATGTCATTCTTTTCCCAAATATGATAGCAGCCATGCAATTAATGTCACTGGAAAATCAATCCATGGAGGATTTTGGGAGTACAAAATTAGCTATCGTTACCTCAGCTCAGGCGAATAATTATTCGATTACACGCGTTTCTTCTTTAAAACGCCTTCGTGTCGATGTGTGAACAGCCTCAAGAACATTTTCAACCTGTTTATAGGGTAATTGCATAATGAAGGTCCTTATGGAGCGTACAACGCTATCACCGCTGAACAAAGGAATCTCATGCGCACTCAGACAGGCTCGAAGGTGCGTCGTGTTACTTGTCGAGTAGGGAGTAAGTGCGTCGTGAGTGTGGAGAACACCCAACCAACTGCCAATCAATATTCCTGCTTGGTTTGGCAAACCCATCATCGTAAAATGATGACTCAGCCCCCTGTCTGTAACATCCACATCCACAGTAGACGTAGTTCGCGTTATACGTCTATTTCCTTCATAGCTTTGCGGTAGCTTAGGTAATTTTGGGAGCCCTGAAGAATTAAGAGATATTACCATAGAGATTACTTTGCCTAAGTCCAGGCCTATTAGTGGAGTGATCAGCTACAACATATTGCAAAGTTAATGAATCGCGGATTCGAGCTGCTTATCCGGGGTAGTTACAAGGTTTCAATTTCAAAATAACTAGACACTTTATCTCTCCTCGTCTTTATTTTCAATTGCTTCAACTAAATAAATGCGATATTTTCATTTATGAATACTTGCGTCTTAATCATACTAGGAGTTGCTATCATTCCTTGAATGATGACCTTAAGGTTTAATTGTCACTATACTGTTACTTTTATTATAATTTATAACCTAAGGTAAGGCAAAAAGATAGACAGATTTTAATAATCTGAAAACTAGTAAAATTTAAAGAAATTCCAAATGGCTTTGGGAAAGAAGGAATAAGAACCAAGACATGGTATTGTAAGAATCTTTCAAAATTCAAGATACCGTAAATAGTATTTGCCATTTATTTCCTCAAATATTTACCTGCCAATATATCATGACAGTTGACAACACAGTTTGGCAATATTTTTAGCTTCCCCAAAGCATTATGATCAAGCGCCTGAATAATCCGATCAAGGAATATTTATGCGCGTTCCAAAATAAATCGAATCAGTTTCGACTGCACTAGTGGGAAAACTAGCACGAGGCTATCATCAACTAGTGATGAGCTCTGGAACCAAGGGATGCAAAGTCACTCCGAAGGAACTTGAACATTCACAGGTTTGAACAAGAAATGTAGGATTTGTAAGCGCATAGGGTGAATCAAAAGACCAAATTTTGAAGATTCTTAAAATACCCTGTCTTGGTTCTTTTTTCTTCTTTCCCAAAGCCATTTACTGTTTATTGCGTTTAGAAGTAGCTCGAATCCGCGATTCATTAACTTTGCAATATGTTGTAGCTGATCACTCCACTAATAGGCCTGGACTTAGGCAAAGTAATCTCTATGGTAATATCTCTTAATTCTTCAGGGCTCCCAAAATTACCTAAGCTACCGCAAAGCTATGAAGGAAATAGACGTATAACGCGAACTACGTCTACTGTGGATGTGGATGTTACAGACAGGGGGCTGAGTCATCATTTTACGATGATGGGTTTGCCAAACCAAGCAGGAATATTGATTGGCAGTTGGTTGGGTGTTCTCCACACTCACGACGCACTTACTCCCTACTCGACAAGTAACACGACGCACCTTCGAGCCTGTCTGAGTGCGCATGAGATTCCTTTGTTCAGCGGTGATAGCGTTGTACACTCCGTAGTGTTATACTTGCATGCTCTTAACCAATTATACTCGCAAGTTCATAAACCCTACTTATGGTTCACGAAGTGAGCCATGGGCTACTTATTAGTCTCTCTCAAATGCCCACTTTTAGTTTACTTCAATTATTCTTATTTTTTCCTGTTGTTGGGTGTTGGTTACCAATTTATTTTAAGTTGATTTCTGGCTTTCGAAATATTCTTTTAACTAAAATTTATCCATGACATATGGTTTCCCTAACTTGATACAGGTTAGGCTTGTTCTAAATGAATGGCGTTAAGTAATTTGTTTTTTTTAACTTATATTACTTAACGTGGAAGATAATTCTCGAAGTTGATTCATTAGTTTCTTTTGTTTCCTTCAAGCCAGTCAGTTTCATTTTATGTCGAAAGAGAAGATTTCTACTTATATGTTCTTGCGCAAGTCAGTCGTGAATAAAACCCCGAAATACACCTTTATTTCAAAATATTATGTCAAAGAAACTGTCTTTAAGCAAAAAACCACCCATAGGAAAGATTTTTCATTAATTCGACATTCTGCCCGGCTTCATTGGTTATTATTTTGTTATTAGTGCTTATTGGCACATCCGATTAATTTCAATTTGACTGTTGATATAATAAGCTTACCTTCTGCCTTGAATTTTACCCCATTCAAACAATAATTTTAATTATATATATATATATATATATATATATATATATATATGATTATAAATTGTTGCTAACATTTGCGGAAGTCATAAGAATGTCAATAAGCATCTGTCTGTTGCATTAAAGTCTCGAAAATGAGCTACTCAAATGCCGACTGCGTGATGCGTATGAGTAACAACCACTCTAAGAATCACGAGGTGAATAACGGCAGCTGATTGGGTGAGTGTAATTACTCTAAATGAAGACCAAGCTACCGGTTTTTTGAGAAAGAGAAAAATTTAGTTTACTTCTTTTAATTCCCAATTACTTTGAATAGGCTATTTTCGACGCTTCTTTTGCACAGAAAGAAGTGAACGCGAATTTTGTTTTTCTTTGGACAATGCTAAGTATCAACCCATTCTATTGATTAGTCTTTTGACTTTGAAATACTCGTGTTCAACCACCATGAGGGTGGATAAGGGCTAATAATGGCGAGGGATGGAAGATGAGGATACATCTGCGGACGAGCCTTTTTCTCCTAATTTACAACTAATGATTTTGTCCCAGATGAGATCCCATCCACAGGATACAGTAATTAGGAAAATTTTTTCGTGGATTAGATGATATTTGGACTATATTGTTTGTTATTTGGTCTTTCAATTCGCCAGCATTCATTCACGCTTTCAATTTTACATAGATAGCAGTAGATAAAATCAATAGAAAACTGTGATTAGTTTTATTCACTTAATTCAATTCTATCTTCTCCCTGCTGTTTCAAGATAGCCAAGCTGAAATTGTAATGCTGATCCTTCTTGTTTACAAAAGAAAAACAATAAGTCCATAAGCAGTAAGCACCGTTGACTACAATTTGATAAATTTCAAGGAGCGAATCATGAGATTAGAATTTTTTGACGTGTCTAACTGATGGTTTTTAATTGTAAAGAGGCTCCGAGAAGTACATATAATTCAATTTACTTCTGTTATTTATATCACACATGCACATATTTGAGTTGGCTGCTCAAATACTCCATTTTAATTTCTAAGTTCTCCTCTTGACGCACAACATTAGCCTCAAATGGGTAAAAATAGATGCTATTTATTCAATATTTACGAATGGTTTTTTTTCTCCTTCATAGTCAATTTCACTCAAAGGCGTTTTGGGGTGAAGTTGTAATAATTTCGACGGCTCTTAGCGTGATGCCAAGATGGGATTGTGCCATTCACGCTTTTTTTTGGATAGGATTCGAGTGATATCAAGTTAAAGTAAGATAATGCCTTCAATTTATAGTGAACAGGTCAAAATCAATAAATCACTTAAATTTCAACGCTTTCATCAAGCAGTAACTTTATTGTAAAATGTATATTTAATATTGTCTGCGAGAACAATGCCATTGAGTGCATTTGAAGCCTATCATTTTGGTTCTATTAATACAATTAACACCAAACGCCTGGTATTTCATAATTTTACGGGGAAACGTGAAGTTAATTGCCATTAAGGCATGTAGAAACTACGAAAATACATCGAAAAGCAAAATATTAAGTCTTGATTAAATCGCCTTTTGCTGGAAAAAGATAACGCCATTCCAGCTTTATGACCTGTATTTCATTTAGATAAATCATAATTTGTTTTTTTAATTGTATTCTATAAGTCTGTGTCCAAACCATAAGAAGGAAAACACAGCTCAGCTCGAAATATATGCAATTTATCTTAATAGGTCAAACGTTATTAAAACAACGTCGCGTAAAGGACGTAGAATATTCTCTTCTTCGGGCGGAATTTCTCATTTTTGGTCATTTTTATATTTCAACTTTGACGGATCTTAACATTATTTAAGCCTCCATTTTCTCTTGAAGCTCTTTTCGCAATTCATTTGAAAGTCATAAAAGTATCTTTTCGTGTCCAACACGTGAACTTGTGGCAAGGAATGTCACTACTCGGATAAATCAACTGCTATTCATTGGTTGGTTTGTCCTCCAGTCACACCTCTCGAAAAAATCAATAGTTCTCTATTTGCTGTTTATCCCTCGTCAATTAACATCTTTACTTGAGTTCATCGTAGCAATATCAAAGGATGACCATGTTTTTATATGTGCTACCCGTTAGGAAATTCGTAATCGAATATTTGGAAACTTACTAGAATCGATTTATATTTCACCAATTTTAATAACAATATGGTCTCATATTAACGGTCTTATGTTAATCCCTCAAACAGATTCGAGCGGCTCATTTAACTAACCCAATTTGAATTAGTTTTAACAAAGACCAATGGCTTTAACACACAGTCACATACATCCATAAAATTGATACATTTATTTATTGTTGATAACCTAATAATGCGTGCTCTCCAAAAGTCACCCATTCGAAAGTCACCCTAGATTTCTAACTGATCACAAATACTTAATGCAGGTGTGTTTCAATTAACAACACCTAAATTAGTGCACTAGTAAAGAAATTTCAGTTTAATAAAAAAGCCAGAATGTGAAATTTCCTTAGGCATGGTCCACCTTAAGCACTAGCAAGGATTTTTATTTATATTTTCAAGATTTATGTGTTTTTAACTTACGTAAAAATCAAACGTTAATGGGAACTAGGTAACGCGGTTCAAAGACCATTACATTTGAAAATCACTCTCGGATTCCCTCCTTTAATAAACTTTAGTGCATTGGACTGGTTAAATAATTTAATAATAGTGATAAATTGGTAAGAAAATGTTGAAATATGAACGATAGTTCAAGGGCCACGTTAATCTCCATGAATATTCGTGTGAAACCAATGTGTAAAGCTTTACTTTCGATCTTAAAGTCTGAAAATCATTTATATCCGATCAATTCACCCCCCTTCCTATAATCTAAGTCCAATAGTTTGATAATAGCGAATGACAATGTACTTGTGATTTTTTACACTAAACTTAGGTGAAAATCATTACACCGCAAAGTGGAGATCAAAGTGCCTGGGGCAAAGCAAGAAAGTAATGCAAATTTCATAAAATTTTTACCTGAATTTGGAGCCTATGTTTTTTTTATATGTAAGTCCTCAACTATAAATGTTAAGCATTATTATTTTGGCTTCAAAATCTTTCGGGAGGATAAAATAGATGATAAATATTTCTTGTAATAGGATGAAATCACATTTGAATGTTGTAAATATATCATCCAAGAATGATGTTTATGAGTACTAATAAAGAAATGCGTTTATTAACTTACTTGCATATTTAGTGGTACACATATTATAACCTCCAAAATACTGGCTTTAAGCTGTTCTCACGCCACTAACACTGTAATAATGAGGTTCATTATGGCTTTTAGTAAACTCTCCTCAATCAATAGCTATTGGCCAACATAGTCATTTATTACTGCGACCAATCCTTGGTCCACTCTTTTAAGCTTTTTTGTAAGGGATTCTACATATGAGTTGTGTTTCCTCACAGGTGAATAGTGAATGGAAGATGAATAAATACATATTTTGTTCTTGATTTACCTTTTATTAACCCTTATTACATTAGTTCTAGAACATTATTTAAAAGCCAGTTTGAAACTTGAGCACTTTTAAAATTACTTTTGGAGAGTCCCTACTTTGGGCGGCAACTTTTAGTTACACTATTTTCATATATCAGCTCCTCAATGGTTTCATTTATTTGTTTAAATAGCTCCATAAATACACCTGCGAAAGGTTATCTTGCTGTGATTATCAGTTCATAATTATTCTTCTTAATAAAATTATATTAAGTATTATAAACATGTGGCTTTTTATGCTTTCAACTCAATATTACAAAATAGAGCCAAAATTGCATTAAGTGCTCATTACAAAAAACGTTATTAATAGATTTCGAAACTAATTGATCGGAATTGATTCACCACAAAATATATGCAGTAAATACAATATTAAATAAATCAAATACCAAAAATGTTTATTAATTTTAAGTTGATTATTAAATATGTTTTAAGTCCTTCAAATTTCATATTATGTATTTTAAACCTAGGTATGCTAGAGATTGTGCATCACGAATATCAAATGTTAAGTTATTCATAATTAATATATTGCAGTTACTGAAAAATGTGTGCAAAATAAGGGGAGTGAAAAGATTCCAGTTCATCATGTTTTTCCCATTGTGAAATATTTTATTTTTGTTTCTGTTATTGCTAACCCCCAACTTTTTGTAGCAAATACGCTCTATGCACTCTATAATAAAATGATAAGTTTTAAATCTTCGAAAACATATATTTACTAAAGAATATAGCTATTTGATCAACGCAAGAAATAAGCAAATATGCCAGTCAAAGATCTTTATGAAAATCAAGCATTTAGCGAATTAATCGAGTATCCTAGGGTTTATAGGGTCCACTTTCACAAACGTTCGCATTCTCGGTGGCGTTCTTTTACCAAATATGTCGTTTGTCAGATTTTTCATTGCGAGCTTTACTCATATGACTTGCTCTAGAGGAAGGTCGAGACTCTTCTAGTGTAATTGTCTTTCCAGCAAGCTTTTTTTCCAATTTTTTTGGCAGCAAAATGAAGTAAGTGTCCCTGTGTTTTGATTTTGCCGATCTACCGCTCGATGTAGTCTTCTGTGAAGACGTACGTTTAAGGCTGCTCTTTGGAAGTGGATGGATCTTGACTTCACTCACCTCCTCGGGTACCAGTTTGTACACTATCTTCTCTTTCTTAGACCCTTCCGTCGACTTGCTTCTTCGCTTTTCAGACGATTTACGGCTACGGTGACTTTGATGGCTCACCAACAAGTTCTCCCCTTGGTTAACTACTAATAGCTCACCTTTTGGTGTTCGTGACCTTGGGTGAGATTTTCGGCGTCGGAGAGAACCTTTTCTGACTCTATTGATAATAACATGTATTGGCTCTTGAAGTGACGGTGATGGTGATGGTGGAGTTTGCTGTTGCTGCTGTTCATGTTGAGCTGATGGTAGGGACTGACTCAAAAGTCTTTCACGTGGGAACTTCAACTTATGGCCCCTCGTTATGAAGATGACGGAATCCTGAGGAAGGGGGTACCTTTCTGCTGGTTTACTTCGAGGCATATCTGCAGGAGAACAAAGATTAGGTGTACTAGATCCTGAGGAAGATGATGAAAATGAAGACTTTGAGGATGAGGATGCATGCTTTTGTTTAGGTGCCGCAGGAGGGGATGAAGGTTGGGGGGAAGTTTGAGATAAAGAAGGTGAAGATGATTGTTTTTGTGATTTTTTATGTGCAGAATATGAACTAGAACTACTACTAGAGGTGGTTCGTTTACGTTGCTGTGAACGAACGTTGCTAGTCTGTGTCGGTGGTTGGGATGAATTACGTTTTGAACAAGGTGACCGATTGGAGGATTTTTTTGACTTCTTCCTTGATTCACTCGGCTGATGTTGGCTCTTCTTTCGTGTCTTCATCCGATCCCAAGATGAATCCAGTCTCTCATCAGCTGAGGAACTGCCTGAAGAAGAGGAACTAGATGAGTTCGCAGATTCGGCGTCCAGGATGTACCGCGCAAAACTTCCATGACGAGCCATTTTGACCCAGTCGCTATGTTCACACACCTCGTTCATTTTTCTACTCTTCTTGGATTGTTAAAGTCAAGAGATCACCGTTACACCATCGCTATAACTACCAATGGTAAGACTTCTTTGATTTGATTCTTTGTGAAATAGGGTAAGCAATTGGTGCACTAACTCTCTGACTCCGAATCACAATGCAGCTGTCGTCAAGGTAATTTGTGGGAGTCCACCTCAACTTCAAAACTGGCACACTCATGTGAATCACCTCTTTCACATGCGATTGTTTAGTAAAAATTACGCTTCGATAAATTCGTTCTAATTATTGAAATATAATTTAAAACGACAATTTAATTCCAAAATTAATAACTGTATATTATGTTTTTAATGAGCATTACGTTAAAGAGTACTTCTTTTATTTAATTAACTTTTACTTCAAAACCTGCATCTGCGCCATAATTGGTTATCTGGTCCTGTCATTCTACATTAAAGAATTCGTTTGCTATTAATGAGACAAGGAGACAAGGTAAGATTTAATTACGACGACGGTACCAACAGCCTTTGTGGAGAGTCATTGAAATATTGGTTGTACGCCAACTTATGTCACCATAATCTGAATTCATTAACCGCAATCGATTTTCGTTTTGGTTTTGTTTGTGCCAGAGATATTACTTTAGTAAATTTATCGTAGAATTGAAGTAATATCAATCGAGAAACAAGTGAATTGGAAAGCTTTTAGCGAAGTGGACGGTAGAAAGACGCTGAAAAAAATTAATTTGGCCTAGGTTCCGAATAATTTAGTCGTTTATAAAAGAAATGGGACCAGTTGAAACTGAAATCGCCTCCACCAATTTTGTGAAAATAACATTAGTGAGTGCCACATTTTTCTGTTTAAAAGTGATTGATGGTATATTTACATCCTATTAGATGCGAAGTGTGTAGGGCAATTGGTTCCCAATTCAATTGCTTCATCCCGTCTATTCGATAACAAGGTGTGAGGCATAGAATGGGTGAATTTCTACTATTCATCTTGAATACCCCAGAAATACTACGGTTTAAAAGAAACCACATTCATTTCATGTTTAAATGCTTCAGGTGTCAGAGGTTATTACAATCTTATCCAACTCAGTTCAGGAAAAACAGGTGTGCTTTCAAAATAAAAGCCTTGAAAACTTCTCATTGGAGTTGAATGATTATCATTAAAGAATGTGAGCTTTAGATTAATAGCAGAACAAGTTGATAAATTAACTTTTAATGAGATGTGTCATTGGAACTTTCTTTGACTTATCTCAAAGTTGAAATTATAAGTGATTGAAATTCACATTCGTGAACATTCAATTTTGAAACAAGAACAGAACTTTTTGCGATTTGAATACTTGGTGGATCAAACTAAATGCTTTGTGAGTGTTACGATCTAGATAGACCTTTACTAAGGCGCACGTATAGATAAGGCAAGTTGCTATGGCAATTGGGACGAAAAAGTAAAAAGAGACTACAAGCAGTGAAAGCAACTGTGTCACCTGACCAAGTCAATGCAAATAATGAACTCCTAATTGGATTTGCCCATTCGTCTACTCTCTCTCGCCCCCTCTGAGCGCTCCACCCTGATATGGAGGTTTGCAGGGGGGGGGGGAGGTGACTTCCAACGGCGTTTATTTGATCAATAGAAACATGTTCTTTGTTATATTGTTTGAGTATTTAACATCCAAAATCACCAAACGTAGCTTCAGTTCCAGCAAAGTTTGTATGAATATTGTCATTATGTATGACTACTTGGTCATCAATTGTAGAGGGGTGAGGCTGGAGACACAGGCGCTAAGGTTAACAGTCCAAGAAGACGTCAAAATACCTAGTGAACATGGTGCTTTTATGGAATGTAGCAGAGAGAGGGGGGAGAGGAAGGGTGGGGTGAGAAAGAGAGAACCTCCAAAGTAGAACGTAGGTGATAAAAATGAGATAATGTTTTAGAAGATGGGGCCTGCATAAGACCACTGAATCTACGAGGAACTTGAACGACATGGTGATATGATTTTACGATTGATTACTCGACGGAAACGTTCATTCTGTTCTAGACCAAGAAAAGGGTATAAAAATTCATTTGTACTTTTAATTTAGCTACACTGTAAAGCTAAGTATGACTGCTCACCAATATTCCATCGTTAATTTAACTGCCATTCTACAAGTAAGCTGGCAAACTATCGGTTATCCTTATTTAAGTCTAGGGTTGTGTGATAGACACGAATCCACGTGGTACACCCTGGGCAACGTATACTCATACGACAAAAAGGTCTATTAACCGGTAGTTGACTTCTCACTTCAAACTACCAGACCCGATAGTATGTCATCTTACCTTGCCTGTCTCTTTTACATCTGTGAATCACTCTTCTGTCCTCCCTCTCCACTTTTTTCCAACTTTGATGTTCCTCCCCTCTGTGAAGCCCGAAGTCAACT